GACGACGGAGGCCGGGCGCGCGCATCCTGACCGCCCATCAGGACGCTGACGGCCGCTGATTGGACTATTGGCGTTCATCTGCTCGCTGGCATTATGCATGCAGCGTCGATCGCGTACAATTATGAAATTTGTGGCTTTCTAAAACAACATTGTGGCTGTCTGAGAGGACGTCACTCGCTCTTGCAGCTTCTCGAAGCAGCTTCTTGACCGTCGCTCGCTTCGGTTCTCCGCCCGCACTTGCGAGCGTTAAGCTTGAGATGCCTCGCATCGCTGAAACACCAAGGCAATCTGACAACGCAGGCGTGTCGAGTCCTCATTTCCCAACGGCTGCACCGCAATGTGACATTTGACCGTCGGCGCCACGGTGTCTCGTGGAAAGCCAAAAGGCAGGCAAACAGGGCAGAGATTTGCAATTGTGAAGGGAGCTTAGCCGGGTCCAGACGATCGACACGGGTTCTGCCCAGATTGCCGACTCCTCATAGCGCGTGGGCCTAGTGCACATCTTGATGTCCCGGCATGCTAGCGTCTACCGTCCGTCGCGATGCCGTCTACTGTACGGCCGCGGTGGGGCGCACCTACTTGTCGGCGACCTCGAGGATCCCATGTGCGACCAGGCGTTGACGTCCCCACGCTACAGCTGGCTCATTTGGGAAAATGCCCGCAGGCGGCAGGAAGCTGTGAAGGTGGAGAGCCATGTGCCTGCCACGAATAGGGACCGCTTTCTGTGAAGACTTGGTGGGAATACGGCCATGCCGAGCAGGCGGGTATAAACACCGCTGCTCGACCGTGACTTTACTTTCTTTACTTTACCTCGCCAGAGGCCACGCGCAAACTTCCTCTACCTCCATCCCAAGCCCTGCTCGCCCTCACTAGTCAGATCCACGCTACCACCCTGCCCTGCGGCAATCGGTCTCAGCGCTCGACTACTGGACGACTACGCAAGTAGCTCTCTTCCAGATCTTCTGCTAGCTTAGTCTCACTACTCCACTCGCCCCATCGGCCGAGTAGGTATATAGCATTCCATCTCCACGCGCGGCACGGTGCGTGTAAACGGTTGCTCCTGCCATCTTCACCAAACGACCACGTGCTGTTGTCACCCCGCAACACCACGTTCCTTCCGCGATCATATCCGACCCCAGAACCTGCCCAATATGGTCTACTCACTATCTTATCGCCGCCCAGAGCGAGCTCCTCGTCCCAGCACTCCCTCTTCCACCAACACCGAGGAGAAGCGGAAGTCGATCAATGCCTCCATCAAGTCCGGCAGCAGCGGCATGTCCCACGGTATTCCCGAGGCACTGTCTTTTGACACCATCATCGCTGGAGGCGCTTGCCCTGTACGTTGCCACTGTTATGAGCATCACCTTTCAAGGTACCTTCACTAACACTTCCCAGCCCTGCACTGTGCGCGACTTCATGAACTTCCTCAAGTACATCGAACTGTCGGCCGAGAACTTGCAATTCTTCCTCTGGTACCGCGACTACGTCAAGCGCTTCAATGCGCTGCCGGAAAGTGAGAGGGTTCTGTCTCCCGAGTGGACTGGCGAAAAGAACCCCGAAGCCAGGCCCGGCACCGTCAGCTACAATGCCGACGCTGCAGCCATGCTCAAGGGCACCGACTTCGCCCACGAGGGCAAGGCCGCTGATTCGGAGAAGGGTAGCAACAACCCCTTCTTCACGCCTCCTCGCACGCCAACCAGCGTCGAACCCAGACGCGAGTACTCTCTCGACTCGTACGATGACAGCATGACTGCCGGCAAAGTTGACCACACTCAACGTGCTGCTGGTGCGTTTGATAACGCAGGACTAAAGTGGAAACCACGTGAGTATTACCTTTGCTAATTTTCTTTCTTCGCCTTTAGGATCCAATCGCTCATCCACCACAGTATCCGTCCAGCCTTACCGGGAAGAGATCAACCGCATCATCTCCATCTACATTGCCGACAATGGTTCACGACAGCTGAACCTTTCGTCGAAAGAGCGCACAGCACTGCTGCATGCTCTACAAAACACGACCCACCCATCGGCATTTACCGACATCATCACGACTGTTGAGTGGTCGCTCCGTTGCCAAGCGCACCCCAACTTTGTTCGGTGGACCATATGCAATGGCAACCGTCCGCGTGTGATCTTCGCCCGCGGTCTCGGTATCTTCGGCATAGTTGCTGGTTTGATCGTCGCGATCATCCTCACCCTCAGCAGCGCCGGTCGTGCGTGGCGCGTCATCTCCCTCATCGGTTTCTTCATCGGTATCTCGACGTTGATCGCAGCCTGGAAGGGCATGTGTGTCGTACTCCACGGTATGCACCACCGTCATCTGCGACCATGGGAGCTCTTCGCTTCGGATGACGAGCCGCAAAGCTACGACTTCAAGTCCGACTCCTTCCAGAGTGTTGACTCGCACGCGTCGAGCAACTCTTGGGAAGACGAGCCATGGGTCGCCCGCTATGAGAAGCGCAATGTCGTGAGGAAGGTGTTTGACCGTGAAGTCTGGATCCAAGAGCCCGCTCTCCGCCAGATCCAGGATACCATCTTTATCCAAGCCATCCTCGGCGCTCTTCTCATCTCTGCCGTAGCCGTCGGTATCTTCTGCGCCATCCCCAAGGGCAACTACTTCTAAGTGCGGCGGCGAACCATCCAGCCACACCCTCATCTTCTTAACCCGAATTCACATCCGAGCGATTTCTTCTCAATTCCCCCTTTGGCTCTATGCAAGCTGCTTCTGATACCCATGTACATGTGTTTACGACACACAAGTGCGCCCGACATTTTGGTCCGTCTGTGCGAAACTAGCGATTAATGGGACATGTTGGTTCGACGCCGGCGTCTGCATTAGCGATATGATCTACTATGTAAAAGATGTTTCCTTACGATATAAACTTTTAACGGAAAGAAGACGATAACTGGAAGAACAGGATGAAAGAAAAGTTTCCTTCTATATAGTCGATATATGCAGATCATGTCTTCACGGATGCAACACCTTGATATCTCCCGTTGTCCACAACATGCGTGCATTCCATATCGAAATCTTCCACAATCCTCCGTCGGCTTCGTCTTTAAGCAGCTGCATGTCGTACAGCGAACTCGCCGTATAACTCGTATCAGCCGCGACAAACGCCTCTTCCTCTCTCACATGGTACGAAATGACATGCGCCGTCATGCGCGCGAAGGTCGACTCCTCGCTATCCACTTCTATTCTCACATTGCTCACGGTATGTGTGGTGACGAGGCTGAAGACGCGATCGAACAAGGGATTGATGGCGTCGAAGCCCGTGACGGTTTGTTGGGCGCCCAGCGGCCCGTAGGTGAATGTCATTTGGGGTGTTTTGTGACAGGCGGATTCCACGAGGGAGCGGTCGTTGCTGTCTAGGCCGAGGGTCAGGCGGTGGAGGGTGTCGGTTATGGATTGGTGGGTTGTGAGGTTGGGGAGGTTGGCGGTGGGAGTGGGGGCGGACATGTTTGGGATAAAGTCAATGAGTTGTGTTGGTTGACTGCTGTTGCTTCTCCTGGTATTTGGGTCGTATGCAGTCTTACCGCCCTTCTACAGCTTATATACAAATTAACTCCTACAGCATACCATATCTAGGTAGGACGGGGCGTATCGATGCCGCTGGCCCAACGTGTCAGGATGGAGCTATCGGGCTTACGACACTGATGCGAACCAATGCAGGCAGAATCGGTGGAGTCCATCGGATTTAACAGAGGTAGCAGTGTCTTTTGGCATTGTAGGATTGCAAGGTTCCGAGTCTCCCCTTCGACTGTGTATACATCGGTGGTTCAGTGCTCCGTCTTCGGCGGCTTCCGGGAACGCCTTGCACAGCCACTTTCTGCCTGCAGCTACGTGCATCACGCGCCTGGCTTGATTACACCTGGGCAACGACTAAAGTTCTTCATGATCTTACGAGAAAGTATGGTCTTCTGAGTACGAGCAGAGCCGCATATCCGGTGAGTGCTTCACTTGGTTGCGAGCTTGTGGTTCTGCGTACCGGTGGATTTAATCGTGTAGCTAGTAGAAATGGAGGCACGAGGCAGATTGTGACCGGTTGGCGGCTGAATATGACAGTCAGCTTTTTGCGCCTGGGGACGTTTGTTCCGTAGTCGCATAGTGAGTGTGGTATCATGTTCTCTGGTGATATAGAGTTGAAAAGTTGGCGAGGCACGTGGTGAGGCTAGTAAGGTGGCTGCAGACCGTGTGGCTGTGCTGAGTGCCGTTTACCGCTGTTCCGGAGGCTGCCGGTTGTGCGCAGAGGAGAGGTTTGGAAGTCGATGTGAGCGCGAAGTAGCTGCAGGTATTTTATACTTGTACGTGAAGGGGGATGCTTTCGGAGGATCTTGTTCTATATTTGCAGTGGGTGGGTAGCGGCTTCCCAGAACTGCAGATCTACAGTCGGTGCATCATAAACCATGGCCATAGTATGGCATATAACTATTGGATCTATATAAGAAAAGAATCGGCCAGGTACCATGAAGTCATAGTGCAACTGTACAGTAGCATCATGGCGAATGCTGCTATTTTTTGCTCGGACAAGGGTTCAGAAGGTGCTAGAGGGAACTATGATGCTTAATACGATACTTTGCTAGTACAGGTACCAGCACCTGCATGTTCACAGCAGCAAATGCGATGAAGACGACTGTGCCGTGACGATATTTCCAAGGAATAACCCATATATCTCAGCAAGGCGAAGATGTGCGAACAGGCGGTGGGCGTTGAACAGAGGACGGGAAGCGAGCAAATAGGGCTTTACCGGCGGTGGGGACGGTGCAGGGCGAAGGCGCGAGGAAGCCGCGACCCGCAATTCACAGACGGCTACATGCGTCACCTAGCATCTTTGTACATCCAACATGGCCGTTGTTGCCGCGCTATGTAAACCTGCCCTCTCCGCCATCTTCGTCTTGTTACTCTTGAGGCCGCCCTAGCTAGTTGCCCAAGCTGAATGCACGCCAAAGCCACTGCCTAGTCTCTCACTGCTCGCCTGACCCTCGCTCACGTACGCCCATACATGTCTTACGAATACGACAGCCGGTACCACCACCGCCCGCGCCATGACTCCCACTATACATCAAGAGAGACGGACCCCTATGGCTATGCGAGGAGCGACAAGACTCTAGCTGAGGCGCGCGAGCAGCTGGCAGACATGCGCCAGAGCAATCCATACACTTCGTCCTACAGCTCGTCCTACAACACCTACACCTATGAGCCCCGCACTTCTCCACCCCTGCCACCTCGACGACCCGCGCCGCATTCGTACAGGTCGCACACGCGCGAGCAGACATGGCCGCCGTCACCGAGCGTCGAGGACGAGAGGGAGGCGCTAGCAAAAGAGGCGCCGTCCTCCGTGGGGTCGCCAGGGCAGGCCGAGGGTGAGCCGCCGAGCAACACGCGGGGCACCGTCGACCAAGACTCCCTGCTCGACGAGATTGAGCAGCCGAGCGTCGCACAACACCATGACCACCGCTACGTGCTCGTTTCCGAATCCAGCACCGATGACGATGGCACCACGCTTCGGGACCGGCGCCGGCGCAGCTTTGCTGACCGTGGGGGCATGTCGCACATCAACACCGACGTCCCAGACCCTCCCGTCTTTACTGAGCGCGTGAGGGCGCCCTATGGTTACTCCAAGCCCCAGAAGGAGTCTACCGCGCCCTCGTCTGCAGACTATGTACGCTCACCAGAACCCATTACGCCTTCGCACAGCAGCCATCCCAGGTCGGGTGCAAGCAGACCGTCGAGACCGATGCCAACTGAAAGCCGACACAATTCTTACACGTCGCCGGCGTCAAAGAAAGAATACGTATTCGACTCCGACTCCGACTCTGAAGCGCACAGCACGACCCACCTGCGAACCGAACGAAAGCCCGCGCGTTACAGCTTCGTGAAGAGCGACCTACAAAGGGAGGATCTAAGGACAAACCTGCGCGATACACAGGACAGGCCCGAACCGCGTCGGCACGACTCCGGGCAGCGTCCCCTGCCGACGATACGTAAGGGTGATTCGTCAGGCTCGTACAAGGAGCATTCCAATGTTGAGTCGCCGCGGTCGTCTTCGTCCTCGGTACACAGCACGCGGAGATCGAGGCCTGTGCCCGTAGATACCGTCTATGCTAACAGCTCGCGCCCTCTGTCAAGACCAAGCTCACCATTGTATCGAGCACCCTCGCCTCAGCTTTCCGCCCGATTGCGAGACTCTCCTCCAGGCTCCCGACCATCGTCCCGCGGTGGCCCTCGTCCAACCTCTCCGCTGTCTTCTACATTCCAGCCTTCTTCGCCAGGCCACGGTCGCGTACCCATATCCGAGTCAGATTATCGCTCGACCTATCCTCCAGCTCCTGCCGACGACCGGTCAAGACAACCATCTCGATATGGCAGACATGACACTATGCCACTTCCGAGGCCTCGTATCGATGTGCACAGTCCGTCTCCTGCAAGGCAATCGACTGGCGACTCTTTACCATATCCCATCGACGACCAGCTCATCGATGTCTTCATGCCACCCGAAGAGCACTATCAGTTTGATCACTCGACCGTCGGTTCGCCAAGACAAAGCTACGTAGACATCCCGAGAGCGACCTCCCCGTCAGTCCCCGGCTCCCCGTACACGCGAGATCTACCTTCCCGGGCTAGAAGGCAAGACACCGAGACATTGGAGGAGCCGTCGCGACCAAGGAGGTCTAGGTCGGGTAGTTTCCGCTCTCACGACGCTCGCCGTGACAGATCATCTCGAAGGACTGCTTCAATGGACAGAAAACTTCCAGATTGCCCAAGACCTTATAAGTCCGGGCCTTACGATGATTGGTACGCGCTCCAAGACAACAAGAACTTCAATATCTGCCCCAGTTGTTACGAGGGTGTCTTCGCCGGTACACCTTTCGACGTGGAATTCAAACAGTTATGGCTGAACGACTACTCGATGGAGCGGAGCTGTGACTTCAGTAGCCCATGGGCACGTCTTGCATGGCTGTTGACCCTTCAGCGAGGTCGCAAATCGCTCGATCTGATCTACGCGATTGCGGGTGTCATGGACACAGTAGCCAAACCGTGTCCTGGAGATCGTGAGGCTGGTGCAGAAGACCGCATTAGCTGGTACGGCATTACAAACCCACGCGACGGTACCCATGTGGCCAACTTCGCTATATGCTCGAGCGATAGGAGGATGCTTGAGGCCTTATTGCCTTCTCTTCGTGGTTGCTTCGCTAAAATGCCGAAGGTTGACAGGCACGTATGCAGCTTGCGTACGAGCTCAACCCGCTTCCCAAAGTATTTGGATCTGCTCGTCGAGCTAGACGCTGAGGCTGAGTTGTCCGGTCAACTACCTGATTTGACCCGCTTCGTCCTATTGCTGCGCGAGAATTCCTATAAAGGCGAGTGCCAAAGGTACAAGATCTTGTTCCGCAAACCGTGGCACTTCATCCCTTCGCTACCAGAGTTTACAGTCTGTGAGCAATGCTACGACGAGCTCATCTGGCCCGCCACACAGTCCAGATCCACGTCATCGTCCATACCGCACATGTTCAACAAGTCGATCCAGCTAGTCCCTGGTGAAGACCCCGATGTCGGGTCCAGCTGCTGTCTGTGGAGTCCAAGGATGCGTGACGTCTGGAAGGAAGCTGTCAGGTACGACGACTTTTCTTACCTGAAGAGCCAGGCGAGAGAGAGAAAGAGGGCGGAGTCCAAGTATATGAGAAACAGAAAACACATTATGACGTGGATGGGCGACGCGGAAAAGGGGACTAGGAAGTGGAAGGAAGCAGAGGATGCTATGCGGGAGCTGAAAAAGAGTTGGTATACTTATGAATGATGAGGTTATGATTGCAACGGGATATGTAGACCGAATGAGAATATGGTTATTACTATTACTATTATTACCGCTTCGTTGGTGCCCTGCATATCTCGTCTCTGGTACCGGATAGGGTCATGGACCTTTTTCAATTCAATTCTGCGTTCGCACGTCTTCACAAACCGCATTCTCACTCATAATGCATCCCTCCAAGAGGCCACGCCTCGAGCCCGTGGCGAAACCATCCCAAGACCATGACATGCGCAATGGCGTACCCCACACGTAAGCTTTTACGCACCCTCAGAGCTCTTTGCCCGAATTTAACTAACCCGCATTCCAGAGCACTTATACACGATGCGATATCCGCCGAACGTCACAATGAAATTGTCCAAGCCATCCTCGTATTCGAAGAACGCCGCGTCTGCAACCTGGCTAAGGAGAACTTACAACTCAAGCGTGACGTCAAAGAAAGGGACGATAGAATCTCTCGGGTGAGAAGGTCTCAACTTACCTTCATAGAACACATGGAAACAGAGAACAACAAGGCGTTGGCCTTGAAGAAGGAGCTGCAGAGTGAGAAGCAGAAAGTAGAGGCATTAGAGAGGGAGCTGAAGCAAACAAAGGAGAAGTTGTGGGATATGTACGAGAAAGAGTGTGAGGGTAGTGCGGCCGAAGCGGACGAAGATGACGATGAAGAGGATGGGGGCTACGAGAGGGAGGAGGAGAGGGAGGAGTTGGAGGGGGATCCACGTGCTGCCCAATTCTACGAATATATGGTGTCCCACGCTCTCAGAGGATGTTGGAAGCCTAAAGGATGATCTGGTTACTTCGTATTTATTTTGCACGCTGTCACATACGCGGTCTTTGTTATGTCTCTGGTTGTATACGTTCTGAGGCGACGAGATCGATCTTCCGTCTCAGCTTCCTTATTGTTATAATTACATCTGTCTTACCTCATCATGCACCCTTCCACATGATCGAACACGCCGTCATCGTAGATAGCATATGGCGATATCGTTGACGCCCGTTTGTAGAGCTGGAATTGTGTTTGTGTCGCAAACACCCACTGCTCATTCAATGTGTCTCGCGAAAAGTATATAGACCAGCGACCTGCACTTCCATATTGACACCTATCCATATATACTACGCCATCTTCCAGTCCCCCCCTCGAAACAAGCGCTGCATTGATATCGCTAGCGATGTCGCCGACGTCCGTTTGCAGAGCAGACAGGGGTCGTAGGTACGCAACTCGCCACCCTCTCCTTTCACTACAACAGTATCAGCGGAAAAACCTATCGGCTGACCGCAAATCCAGTTTTTCCGTCGCTTACGGATTTTGCACCCACGGACCTTTTTGTTGTTTTGACGACTGATATCCCCGCTTTCTTGTTGTTTCTCTCGACACCCACGTCCGTACATTGACACCCGTACACACGCCATCGACGACATCATGGACGACCTCAACGACAACGACATCAGCATGGGCGATCTCCCGAGGTCACTGTGGATGTACCCGATGATAACCAGTCCGGAGGGGAAAGGGACGTCGTCGGTGTTGCCGCCAAGCATCGCGACGCTGAGCACAACTACGAGATCAAAACCTTTAAGATTCTCACGCGCTCCGTACCCCTGCCCCGTCTCTTCGACATCTACTTTCACCCTGAGCGTAGCCTTGTACCTGTCGTTCCTCAAGATATCCAGCTTGACTTCTACTTCTACATGTACAACAGCATCGCCAGCGACAACTTTGTCGCACAGAAGACGCAGCCTCTTGACATCAGTCGGACCATCTGGTTCTACGGTGTGGATAGTACTCATGCATTCACTATGCATTGCTACCAGATCCGCTGGAACGTCATCATCATGTCCTTCCTTTGGGCAACCGGATTCGATGAGCGGTACTGCAAGCCTGCGTGTGGGCCTTTCATCATCAAGTTCATCAAGGTAAGTTCAAAATCCTCAAACGCCTTCCTCATGTGATGGCCTGTACACCTTCAATCCGTTGTTGGCTTTCATGCATCACTTAAAAAGTCCCTGAGGCACTGTTGGCTATCCCATGACCTTGATTTCCAGCTGACAAGAATTAGGCCTGGATAGAGTCACTAGTCTATCAGCACGACATCTCCGACAACATCTTCGCCCAACGCGAGGCTTTCATCAAGTTCTGGAAGAACGGCCCCTTCGACTTATACTACTTCGGCAAGCGCGACAAGGTCAAGATGATCGCCCGCATCAAACATCTGTACAAGCAACTTGAGACGAAAGACCTCCCCAAGCACGACGACCTTGTCAAGGCGCTACGGGACGAAACCCTTGACGAAGAGACGTTTGAGCGGTATGGTCCTACGCTGGCCTTCCAGTGGGTTATCGGACGAGAGAAATATGCGCGCGAGGAGCAAGAGGCGATCGACTACGACAACCAGGTCAATCAGTCTGACCTGGAGTTGGCTGAGGCGGATAGGGAGGTGACGGAAGCGAAGAAGCAGGTGGAGCTCACCGCTGCAGCCCTTGAGAACGAAGACGAGATGGAAGAAGATGATGAGGAAGAGGAGGAAGAAGATGGCTTCGATCCCTACCCCAAAGAGAATCATCCTAGTCTCTCGCGTGTGGGATGGGATGATGTGCATGGTATCGTCATGCCACTCATGCGGCCCGTCGATGCATCACTTCCTCATCCCAGGACGGTACACGAGAAACATCGTCCCGTGGCTGACGAGAGCACGTTCTACGTCACCAGGGACCAGCTGTTCGATGCCATCCTTAGGATTCGGGATGATGAAATTGATGAGTTGGGTGACAGTCTCGCGACGATGACAACCATGATCAACACCAAGTTGACCTAGGTCATACATGAGCCTGTCGCATACGAGTACTTCCTGAAGACATGTCTGGAGTCTGAGCATGCGCTGAGGTCAATCAGCGAACTAGATGTAGATACTGATAGAAACTGAAAATGTGTTGAAGACGATCAGGCTTCATGATGTTTCGTCCATGTGAGGCCATGAGTTCATAGAGCGGTGCGGAAGAACGATGCACCGAGCCTCGGCTCACCCCCAGCTTGCAACATCCGGGGCAAGTTCCGATGACGAACATCTACCCGTGTGTCGCGATGGCTATCCATATTTCTCCTTACGACGCTTGCACTCCTCATTTGACCTATACTAACCATCAAAATGGATAACAGCTCACTCTTCGATGTCAAGGTACGTACCTGCAATTTCCATCTGATCATTTTACTGACTCTCATCAAGGGCAAAGTCGTCCTTGTCACAGGCGGCGCCAAAGGCATTGGCCGCATGATCAGCGAGGGTTTCATTCAGAATGGCGCTACGGTCTACATCTCCTCGCGCGACGCAAAGGCCTGTGAACAAGCGTGCAAGGAACTGAACGCGCTCGGGAAGGGCAAGGCCGACTTTATCGCCGCCGATCTATACAAGGAAGATGCAGCGAAGAACATAGCCGACGAGCTGAAGAAGAGAGCAGGCAGTAAGTCACCCATGAGCTGTCATCTACGCCACTGTCGCGAAATAATGAGCAGTCGCTAACAATGTACAGAGCTTGATGTCATCGTCAACAACAGCGGAAGCAACTGGGGCGAGTCCTACGACAACTATCCCTCCGCCGCATGGGACCGCGTCCTCAACCTCAACCTAAAGCGCGTCTTCCAGCTCACCCAAGCCGTCACCCCACTCCTCGAAGCCGCCTCGACCCCTACATCTCCCGCCCGCATCATCAACATCGGTAGCGTCGACGGTCTGCGCGTCCCCGCCCTCGAGACATTTGCCTATTCCGCCTCCAAAGCTGGTCTCCACCACATGAGCAGAGTGCTAGCAAGCCACCTCGGCAAGCGAGGCATCACCAGCAACACGATCGCGTGCGGTCCCTTCCAAAGCAAGATGATGAAGGCTACATTGGAGAAGTTTAAGGACGTTATCGAGAGCGGGATACCATTAGGACGCATTGGCAGCCCGGAGGATGTTGCGGGTACATGTATTTGGCTATCGAGCCGAGCCGGATCATATGTCAACGGTGCTACTATCGCGCTGGACGGCGGTAGTGTCGTCGGCGCCAAGTTGTAAAAATACATGCCATATACGTGTACGCGATGAAGACTTTGCGGAATACAATGGACATCTGGCGCAGGACACGGTCACCATATTGACGCGTGCTACCGACAAGCTTCACAGATGATATGACAGCACTCGGTGCGCTCTAGATCAAGACGACATTTCTTCGCGCTGCAGACTTCTCTTCGCACTTCATCTACTACATCTACTACATCGGTCTCTGTCTATCTTCTATATGGCTAACAATCAGTACGTATCCTCCGCGCCAACGGTCAACCAAGAGGCCAGGGGCTTATGTTCAGCGGAATGCCTCAGCCTCATGCAATGTATCACGTATCGAGCAACTTCCATTCACGAGCCCTTCTCTCGTCTCGCAGCAAGAGTGTAGAATATACTACCGTCGTAAATGCCACGGATATCTTCCTTCATCATTCGGCCATCTTCAGGCCAAAGCATTATGTACGTGGCAATCCCTGAGTTCGTCAGCATCAATTCCGACAGAGCGCACTGGTAACACGGCTTACATTCAAAAAAGGCACCACCCCATCCAATCGGATCAGCAATGCACCGTTGCCCTGCGAGCACGTTCTTTACGTCCCAGATCGTTAGGTAGTCCCTCCCCTCAGCATACTTCGCGAATATGTCCTCGAACTTCTGTGGCAGAAAGCGCCCTTCGTGGTCGTATGTCCCGGTATCACTGCCATGCTTGTCCCTATGCACATTCTTAAGAAAAAGACCTAGAAGATTAGCGCAATAAGTCAGGGTTTGTCTCAAATGCAGTCCGTGGCTTGGATTCCTTACGAAAGAACGGGTCAGGCAGCCAACCCTCGCATGTAGGGTATGAGAAGTTCGCATGAATCACGAACACCGCGATCATGGATAGAATGACACCGAATCCGAGACGATAGAAGCCTACGAATGTGTCTTGTGGCCATAGGATCCCATCGTGATCGCGATCAAAGAAGTCGCAATGTTGTTGCAGAACAGTCTGGTGAGAATGCTGCTCCGCCCAGCCTTTGGTACCTTGAGGCGACTCTGCTGATGGAGCGAGATTTGCACGGGCGGTACCTGCTCACGTTAGCCTTTGGATGTTGGATCTCCTATAAGCGGAAACATACCGGTGTGTTGAAGCTTTGAGCCTTTTGTGCTCACGTACGGTCTTCGTTGCTCGGTGACAGGCACGTCACGAATTGAGCTCACCACTCCATCATCTCCGTTGGTGAGTCGCTCGGAATGCCTCCTCACTTCAGACATGTTTTCACTAATGCGGGAAATAGGTTTGCGTGGATGCTGAGACCGTGAAGGGAAGAGCGAATAAAAGGAACGCTATTTCCAACTTCAATGACATCACGCCATCTGAAACAGCATTAACCAACTTTTGAATCATGCCCAAGTACACCGTCACCGACTCGTCATCCCAAAATTTCACATGCATCGCATGTTGTTGATACACCGAAACAGTAGTGTCCCGCTAGCCAATGGCAAAGCGCGTCGTCAATCTTGGATGATTTCCGGCTCGCGCCGCCATGTACATCAGCGGACCGGCCACCTGGTAACCCATCAATACTGTGTGTCGTGGCATGTACAGTACCCCGTACCGTGTATTCGACACGGAGCTGATGTTCTACATCTCTAGTAAATTCCTGCATGTATCTGCGTTGCGCGCGACTTTGCACTCCAGGACTGGCTTCGATGACGTCATTCGTTGGCTCTGCCTACATTTGGTCGCGATGTGAACGTACCTAGGTATGTATGCCCAGTGTAATCCAACATGAACTCCAGCAGCTTCTTCATACCGCCTCCAGGAGACCGTCTATAAAAGTGCTCCCTTTGTTAGGTTGTCACGCTCGAATACAGTCATGACGAAGCAGTGAAGACACTCAAAAAGAGCGTCTAGTGACAGTTGTGAAAGTATCGTGACTTGGGCACTGTTAAATGATCTGTCAAGCATTTTGGCATCAGGTATCTTATCGGCCAAGTTTTTCTACTAGTTGTTCGTACCGGCGTTGCGTCAGTAGTCATCAAGGACCAGATTACCTATGCGCTCGACGATTCCCGATGCCGCAGGCATCACTGAAACACGCCCGGCTTAGATCTCTTCTACGTCGGTTCCATCCCAGCAACAATCCTGAATACATCCATGTCACTTGCTACTCGGCTGCCGACCGGACTGTCTATCCTTATCACGAACGGTACTCTTATAAATGACCTTATGCTCTCCTACGACGGAAAGAATGCGCGGGCAGCTACAAACCTTCGTTTTGTGACCCGTCGATGAGAATAGATATATCAAGGCAATAGTATTCAACGGCTGTGTAAAAATGGAAGGCGAAGTCTGCTGCGTTGGGTTCGCGAGCGTTTCGATCGTGACAATGTCTACTCAACAATTGGCGAAGGTCTCGACTTTCCACTTTGCGAATCATGGTGCGCCTAGGGCTTGGCTCTTGTAGATCTTTCGACTGCGACTGTACAAATCCTGTAGTTGTGAGTGTTTACCAGAGTTAATGGATCGAGTAACACACGTATCGAAGTAGGGTCCTGGAGAGGCCAGTTTGACAACCTGTTCGCCACGGTTTGTCTCACTATCTCCGCTATCATCAGATAGTGAAAGACCGGACTGACTCTCGATTGCGTGCTTGCACTCACTCACTCACACAACCCTTCACTGAACCCGCCCCCGCACCGCCCACTCACTCCCGCCTTCACTGGCTTCACTGCCCACCCACACACTGTATATCGCGATTCGAACAGCCAAAATACTGACATATTGGAGTTGAAACCATCTATATAAAGTCTATTATTTGAGATAACTCCTACAAGACTCGGTATAGTGGTCTCCGACCTGCCTATACAACATTTGTTCCATGTCCGTTGTCCCAGTCCGTTCTCGTTTAGGAAGTGCGCCGGTTCGAATCTGCTTTGTGTCTAGGGGATCCATTTCCCTGGGGCAAAGTTGGGTTTAGATTGGTTCGTAGTTACCTTGTCTTGTTTTTTGCCCTTTTTTTTTTTGCAGCTGCCACCGCCACTTCTTTTCTTTGTCTAGATACCTAAGAGCAGCAGCTTAGGCAGGCGATGTTAACTTCCTTTTTCCCTTTGCGCATTCTCGCTGCGTCTCGTTCGCGGAAAGTGTGTAACACTTGTTGTTCTTTTTGCCCTTCCCTAGCCCTATTCCGCTACAACCTCAACAACCGCGTTGCGACGATACTATAACAGTACACAAGCTAGAAGAAAATTTAGATATGAATAGATATGAATATATTCCGATAGAGATATATGACAGGAGTATGGTCTACATGGTTCGCGCCGACATGGCGAGTTCGTAACGTAGGTGTATAAAGCAAAGGAAAGCAAAGTATCTCGTACAAAATAAGAGAAGAGCGCTGACAGGCAATGTAAACATCTCTCCTAGATAAGCGCGTAACCAAACCCAACGACGACGCTCGCAAAGAACCAGTTATCTTACTTCTAGGCCTCCCGAGGTCTCTTGGAGGTACTCCGAATCAACCATCGAGCCCACCAGTTGCCGGCTATCGGTCCAGCCTTCGAACAATATGCGAGCCTTCACATAGTGCGTGCGCGCCGCATCAATGCGCGTTGTTGCTCGGTGTAGCACGATTGGACTCGTTGTGGTTGTGGAATCTCGTCGCCGGTCAAGTTGCGGGTCCAGGGTTCATCTGAGTAGGCAGGGGCAGCAAGGTTTCCATGTCTTCGGACGAGGGGAAACGCGGAATCCGCTATGTATAATTAGTGGCCGCAGGTCGATGCCAACGTCGATGTGCGGAGGTACCTGTTGAAAGGGAAGGAGCATGAGAACGTCGGGATGTGCAACGCCCCCATGTGATCTTTAAGCTAGGCCACGATAGCACTAGAGTGAGTCCGAGTCCGAGTACAGCTACACAAACGCCGATAAGCGTTAGCATTGCTTCAGTCGACAGGGTATGTGATTGGACAGCTTCCCCCGCAGTGGGGTCTCGCTTTGCAGCGTATGGTATGGCGGCTGCGCGGGTAGAGAAGATAATGTGCATGCCCAGCAGTAATGGGGTGTAGTATGAATACATTCTGAAGGACAGATGCAAGACCAATGAAAGGTAGCTAATCGAGTTCAGCAAGTGTAAATAGACGTTTGCGCCGCGAGTGCTAATCTGAGGGCTCTGCCGTCTTGTCAAAATTCACGAGCTGCACGCACTGTATATATCTAGCACCGCTTGGCGGATTGAGGCGGAGCAATTGCCCAGGTGCGATTCAACCACCGTGCACCCTACCCTTGCAAAGCTGGTCAAACGTTATCCGCCGCTCTTAAAATCTAGCCTATCGGCTCGTCGGTTTCAACACACTGCATCACCACAGTTGGAGGAAAAGACATCATGCGAGGAATCTGTCTGCACATTTCATTCTACAGCTCGGATATCATAATGCGCATTCTGTGTGTAACGTCAAGACGCCCTTGTAGCTGCCTTGGTGAATGGGGTCAACGGACTTGTCAGCCAAAAAGAGCCATGGAAGAGTGTTAGTACATGATCTTGATTGATACCTAGGTACCTAGAAAGACTCAGATCGAACGGATCAAAGCTGTAGATAGAAGATGAAGGAAGATTGTAATCTGCAGCGGAAATACGCCCAAGAGTCGCAAGACGCAATTACACAACAACTCCCTTTGAACGACACTTGCCCGCCAACTGCCTGCGCCAACAAAGGCCTTACGGATCGTATCCAGACTGTATATGGATATTTTCGCTGTACCAATGCCCTCAGCATGTAGAAGCGCGCCGCATCAGCTCGCGCTGTTGTTCGCAGTAATCGGATCGCACGCGTTGTGGTCGAGTTATCCCAGCTCCACCTGCGTCGGCGGCTGTCGAGGATTCAGTCGAGACTTGTGGCATCGCATGTTGCTGTGAACCGTTCACGAGCGGAACTCGCGAGTGTGCTAGGCTTCGTCAACATCTTGTCGCGTCTTGTACGATCGTGGAAAGAACATACCAGTGGAGCTGGGACGGGAGCGAGAATGGCGACGGGAATCTAGCCTTGCCCTCAAGCTAGGCCAGATGAAGGGAAGCGCTATACCCAATACAGCTACGGCTATCGCGATTACACCGACGATCGCCTCCACAGATAGACTTTGTGTCTTGATAGGCGAATTTGTGAGATGCTCTCGTTCAAATAAAGAGGGCGAAGGCCGAGCGAATGCGGTCATAGAGAAGTATGCGAAAACGAAGGGTAGAAGTTGGACGAACGGCATATCTGGACGTGCTCTACAAGTATACAAACACGACTCTCATGTAATCCAAAAGACAATGGAGGGCTAGATGTGCTAGAGAGCGATAGGGAGCAGTTGAGCTGGAGGAACAATGTCGTAAAGTCGAGTATATGTGTAGACGCATTCGGATCGCGATAAAGACGTCCGTGAGGATGTAATACCCGTCTAAGGACAGGGGGTGATGAGATTTGCGTTTCTACTTGAACATTTGCAGCTATCGCGATCCTTTCTTCCTTATATGTAATGTTGCCAACTCAGCGGCCAGTGGCAGATTCGATGCCTGAGCTCGGCTTACAGGAGGTGGTGGAGGAGGAGGAGGCTGAATGTGATGCGCGAGGCGCAGCCATCGCACATCGCAACTTGACTGGCCAGCTGCACCTCGCACCCATGCTCTGATTGACTGTCCAGGTGGGCAGCATTCGATAGCTTGCATCAGCTTTCAGGGCCAATAGAACGATAGTAGGTCTTCTGTCGGCCCGATAGAAAGATATTTACTGCTGGGCCGGTCGTCCATTGCCGACAGTTAGCCTTTTGGATCGCTCACCCTTGAAGTGCCTTCACGTGATTGGAGAACATAGCTGGATGAGTCTGCGAGGAACTTGGTGAGCACAGAACTTCGTATCTTAGACTAATTGGTACTATAGCAGCGGAGATGTATTGACTCAGTTCGTCTCCTCCTCGTCAACCCACTCATCCTCCAGCCCAGTAACATCGTCATCATCACTCGGCTCCTCATCGAACATCAACAGCAAGCGCAACAACTCGTCTTGCGGTCTTTCGATATGCTGCGACAAATTGGCGAGTATTGGGTCTTCGACTTCGGTAGTCGCGTTATCGCCATTGTCAAGGCTGGGCGCAAGGCTGATGATGCGAATTGCTTTTGTCGGAAAGATGCGTCCATTGCCTCCTTCTTCCCGTCGCTGGCCGAGTGTCTGCTTTTTGTCAGCCGTTGAATTGTCTTGAACTTTGAGCAGCGGACGTACCGCGTATGTTGTCATGA